GGCAGGGGCGCCCCCGTCCCGCGCCGTCACCACCAGATCATAGGCCGGCACGCTCTCGCGATCCAGGGCGCTGTCCAGCACCAGCGAGTAGTAATTCTTGAAGGTGGACAACAGCTTGAATGGGGTCTGGGGTGTCAAGGTGCAGGTCACTTGACCGTTAGCTCCTGAATCGCGATCAGATACGCTAATCAATGTGATGACTGTGCCTGGTTGTGCATCTTCTGAGACAGGAAGGGACAGAGATGTGATAGTCAACTGTGGCGCATTGTCATTAGCATCCACAACATCCACCAAAACAGTAGAGTGTCCAGACAGTGGTGGAAAGCCTTTATCAATAACCTCTACTCGAATTTTGTAGGCTTTATGCTCTTCAAAGTCTATATGTCCTATTACGGTAATTTCCCCAGTTAAAGGGTCTATGTGGAATTTAGACTTTATATCTGAAGAAATATCACCAGAGAACGCGTAAATAATAGCCCCATTGAGGCCTTCGTCTAAATCTGAGGCATTTAGCTTAATTACTAAGGTTCCTTTAGAGACATTTTCTGGCAGGTTCACTTTATAGAGCGTTCTGTCAAAAACTGGCGCATTGTCATTGGCGTCAAGCACAGTGATGATTAACTGAACAGTCCCGGTCAGCTCAGGTTTGCCTCCATCAGTGGCCGTGAGCACTAAGGAAAGCTCCGGCGTTTCCTCCCTGTCTAAAGCTTTCTGTAATACAAGCCCAAGAGGTTTTACCTGATCCTCATTTGTTGGTACATCCAGCGAGAAATAGGCACTGGGACTCAGTCTGTAAGTCAGCAGAGCATTGGCTCCAATGTCTGCATCTGACGCGCCCTCTAGCGGAAATTTAGAGTCTAACAACCTGGATTCTGCGATAAACAGATTCCTTTGTGTGGCTGGGAATACAGGCGCGTTGTCGTTAATGTCCTTCACCTCCACCTCCACGTGGAAGACCTGCAGCGGCTTGTCCACGATCACCTCCAGGTGGATACTGCACCCCGCGCTCCGCCCACACAGCTCCTCGCGGTCGATGCGAGAATTCACAAACAGAATGCCGTTCTGCAGATTCACCTCCAGAAGGTCCCCGCGGCCTTTGGACGCCACCCGGAACAGGCGCGGCACCAGCTCCGCCAGCTCCAGCCCCAGGTCCTGCGCGATGCGGCCCACGAACGTGCCGTGTTTGGCCTCCTCGAGCACCGAGTAGTGGACCTGGCCGCTCCCCGCCTCCCAGCCTGCAAATATTATCTGAAATAGCAATAGAACCCGGACTGGTAGTTCACCTGGACCCGGAAACACCATTTCAAATTCTTGTTTCTTTGAAAGACAAATCATGGAGATTTGTCTAAACATATAAAGGAATGTCCTTATATCTTTAGTCCAATCTTTACGTGCTCGCCATTGTTGAGCATCCGGAAAGTGAATGAGAGTGGATCGTCTTTCCAATGGGAAAAGGGATGAATTCTTTTTGTCTTGAACATGAAGGATTTCGCGGAGAAGGGCGACATCATGTGGCCCAAATAGTAAGTTTGAATTACAGAATTATCTTCATTCATTAAATAACAATGCTTTCTTTCCACCTCTGATTATTTTTTCTTTGTTAATAAAGTGTAGGATAGTATTTTCAGGTTTGCTGAAATAATTTGTTGAGATTGATTACCTTTGAAAATTGAATTTGACCATAATTCCTAATTCCTTGAAAATTTCATGATTAGTTATAGAATAGAAACCAAAGTGACAATAAAATACGTTATTTCATAATCTTAAATGTTAAATCCCTTTGTTCTGGAGTCTGAAAACTCTTAATGTTCCAAAATGGCTTCTTAACTATAGAGATATTGGATATCAAAAAACTTCTACTGGAAGAGAAACTTAGAAATATTCTCTTTCAGAACGGTAAGAATATAAACAACTAATGCAGAGTTATTTAATGAGTAAACAAAACAACTGAGATTTGGAGTCTTTGACAAAGACTTTGTATTAATTTTGTGATAGAACACAATTTTGTGATAGATATATCAAGTGTAAGCTACTCTTCTTTTTAAGTTTACAGAGCAAATTCTTGTGAGATGTACTCCCATCTTTCCAACTGCACATAAATAATTGTATCTGAATTCTAATGCTTCCTACATTTCATATATGCTGTAATGGACTTTGCTATAATAGTTTCATTCTTTGATAATTACAGTAGGTTTTATTGTGTCTACTGGTCCATTTCATTTTCTTTCTTCTTTCCCTTAACTCTTATTTATGAAAACAACTTTTATTCACTGGCATCAGCTGAGCAACAGTTTCACACCTCTTGGTAGCTTTCATGTAACTTTGGAAGAGAGGCAAATTTCTTAGTATACTACTCAAAGTTACTCAAGAGATAGTCCTGTGTTACTTTTCCTATCTTATACTCTCTTATGTTTTAACCAAACTAAACCATTCTCTGTTTCTAGGCATATGTGGGGTTTCCTGTATACTCATACTTACCTAGTCTTCAGCTTTCCTGAAACTATATATTGTGCTAAATATTCTCTCAAAGGAAACATTTCTATTTAAAAAAAGTCTTGATTTGTATATACATTTTGTGACTTGTTAATTCAATGATTCCTAGAACAGAATCAAAATTTTTGAGACCTACAGAAACCCTATTTTAAAGTTTACTCAAGAGTGATAGCTTTGGGAAAAAAAAATAGTGATAGCTTTGGTCCTCTATTTCATAACTTTTAAAAAATTTCATTACATATCACCATCTGGAGAAATGGTGCTCTTTAGTAATAAAATGATAATAGATAGTGTCAACTTTGCATACATATGTGTATCCTTTGGGGGGGAATAAAATTAGATGATATTATTAATTACTTCAATCCTGTCAAGAATGGAAAAATAGACGCCCCAAGCCCAACCTCAGAATCTAGTAGCCCTTACACAGTTTCTAAGTATAGAAAAACACACCATTCCTGCTTTGTTGTTGCCGTTATGTGCCCTCACGACGCCTGAGACTCATAGCAACACTATGTACAACAGCCCTAAAGCCTGCTCTATCCTGTGCCAATCTTACTGTCTCTGATGCACCTACCCTCATTACCCCAGTGACAAATCAATCCATCTCATCGAGGGTCTTCCTCTCCTGTGCTGGCCCTCCACCCTCCCAAGCATAACGTCATTCTCCAAGGACTGGTTCCTCCTTGCAACATGTTCCAAGTATGTCAGATGAAGCTTCGGGATCCTTGCCTCCAAAGAGCAGTCTGTTTTCGCCCTATCCAGGATGAATTTGTTCGTTCTTTTAGCAGTCGATGGCATATTCAATACTCTTCTCCAACTCTTCTCAAAGGCATCAATTCTCCTTTTATCATCCTTAGTCATTGTTCAACATTCTTACACTTAGCAAGTGATTGCAAAGACCATGGCCTGTATCAGGCACACCTTAGTCTCCAGAGTGACACTCCAGAGTGACACTGTTGCTCTTCAGTACTTTGGAGAGGTCTCTAACAGCAGATTTTTCCAATGCAATATGTCTTTTAATTTCCTGGCTGCTGGTGCTAAGAGTGTTGATTAACTAAAGCTGTTACCAATCTCAATCTCTTCACCATTTATCATGATGCTGCCAATTTGTCCAGTGGTGAAAATCTCTGTTTTCTTGATATTGAACTTCAATCCATGTTGAAGGCTGCAGTCCCTGATCTTCTGCAGTCCTTGATCTTCAGTGGTACAAGTAGGGTTGTGCCGTCTGAATAATGAATAATGCAGATATTGATGAGTTTTCCTCCAATCCTGATGCCACATTTTTCCTCATAGAGCCCTGACTCCCAGATAATCTGTTCTGCATATAGATTGAAAAGGTATGGAGATACGGCACAGCCGTGGAGTACATCCTTTCCAATTTTGAAGCATGCAGTGTTTCTTTTCTCTGTACTGACAACTGTCTCCTGGTCCAAGTATAGGTTTTGCATAAGCATGATCAAGTGTTCTAGGATTTCCATTCCTTTCAGAGTTAGCCACAGTTTGTCCACACAGTCAACTCCTTTGCATAGTCATTGAAACACAAATAGACATTCCTGTGGTACTCCCTGCTTTCAGCCAAGATCCATTTAACATTAGCTACAATATCCCTAGTACTACAGCCTCTTCTAAACGCAGCCTGAACTTCTGGCAGTTCTCTGTTGATGTGCTATTCCAGTCGTTTTTAGATAATCTTCAGCAGAATCTTGCTTGTATGTGAAATTAATGATATTGTTTGATAATTTAGGTAGCCTAATTTTCTAAGCTATCCAATGCTGTGAAACAGAATTGGTGGAAAATTTAATCAAGGAAGAATGACTTACAACATAGTACTTAATCACTATGCTGTCTTCATGTAAAGGCATATTGAAAATTTAAAGAGTCAGTTCTCAAAATGGCAAACAGCTTTAATATCGCATAGACATAGACTGGTTCACTATGAAAAGAACTCCGAATGAAATTCAAACATATATAAAAAAGTGTTTCCAAGGAAAACAAATTGTTCATTAATTTATTTTCTCAAAGTTTAAACTCTCTTTAATTACTAGCCCTGGTGGCATGGTAGATAATATATGAAGCTGCTCACTAAATGAAATGGTCTGCACGTCAAATACACTAACTGATCCAAAGCGAAAGCCTGGGTCCATATGAGTTGAAATCTGCAAGAGTGATATTGGAGTTATTATCATAAGTTGAGCAAACCATAAAAGGAACAAGGCAATTAGAAGAACACAGTTTTCCCTAGTCAACCCTTATCTTAATCACTGTCACCCTGTTAACTACTGTTTTGTCCTTTATCCCTAAATGAATTTACAAAGTAACAATAAGTGACCATTAGCGGCTCTGAGGGAGCAAGATGGGCAATCTCCTCCCAGGTAATTACCTCCAGCCTCAGGAGCCTCTGACTCAGTGACAACTATTGAATGAGAACGTCTCTTGCGATCACAAAGTTCAGAGAATAAGATCGGATGGGCAAAGTTTCTATACAACACGGATATTGAACATACCGGATAAATAAAAAGTCCTTCACAGACAAAAGTCGAAAAGGAAACTGCTGAGTTGGTGTTAAATGTCAACGTATTAAAACGCAAGCAAATACAAAATGCCTCCCCTTTCAAGTATAAAGAAATGGAAAAAATCCAAACTTTTATGTAAGTCAATGAAACACATATCATAAATCTTATTTAACGCAATAATTACATAAAAGAAAATAAAAACATGAGAGAGTGAAGGCCATTGATTACCTGGTTATATTTAAATGAACTGGTAAGACAATGGAATTTTCTTCATTAACGTAAATAAAACTACAAGATGCAAGTACGTTACCAACAGCGCGCAATTTTTTATGGGAAGAAATAGACCAAAGTGAAAGGATGTTGAAATTCTAACTTAAACATTAAAATGGATGAAAATTCATACTTACGTTGTTACTACAATCGTCTTGATCTTCATTTAAATCTTGATTCTTGACAATATCTGCTGCTACTGGACACGGGGGTAGGCTAGGGCTGAAGGCCATAAGGTCGGTCTTGGGCGGCCCCTCCCCAGAGCACACCCTCTGCCTACTCTGCTGGGAGCACGACCAGCTCCCCACCGCACTCGAACACACGAGCCTCGGCTTCCCCGGACCGCACGCGCCCTCTGCCGGCGGCGCCGAGCACCGCAGCGCCGTGTACAGCAGCAGCGTCAGCACCAGCAGGCTGGA